TTCTTAACACAAAATGTCTGATTAGAGATGATAACATAAAAACACCCTTTGTTACATTCTTTTGTGTGAGAATGAGACATTGTTTGAATGAAGAGGGCACTGAATTGTGATGATGTTGCTCTTTGCAATGACAGTGTCTCTGATAACCTTTTAACATTTGAAAAGGTGATTTTATACTTGAAATAATAAATTTTTTTGTTATCAAAAAAGTGATTTAAACCCAAACTTTTTCACAATAGTTGGGATTTAAGGGTCAATCAAAAATACCCAAGCTGCACTGGTTTAAAAATGTTCGTCCTAATAAATCTGATTATATATCATTGGTGATTAAAACAGCAACAACAACCATCATAATAATAATGTTGAATGTTTATTAATAATAAACTTCAGAGCTGAAAACTGTGTGTGTACAATCTTTTATTGCTAAAATCACTTCCAATTATCATTTAAAAATAAATCTCTTTAATGGCCTGCAGCAACAATTTCAGCAAATGCAGGAACACAGAATGAATAGTGCATGAATAAAGATTAATTCAGGTACGTGAACGTATTTGTAATAATACAAATATGAATACTGCTTTATTGCTTATATGTAAAATCTGTAATATTATGAGAGTGGCAAAACGACTCATTACTAAACGTTTAAGAAATAAGTCAAAGTTCAATTACTCAAATTGGGATAAAATCGCCATTATAACCATGGGTCACTGATCAAAATGAGTCCACCAATGGGATGAATTTAGCAGAAAAGTCCTTGACAGTTCTGTATCAAGTGTTCTGTCACATGACACATGGCTTCACGTCCTGGTAGACACTTTGGTGATGGTGATGAAGCTGATGGTAGTACGAGCCGCTGGTGTTGGGGTGCAGGGAAGAGATTCCATTGAGGTTCAAAACGAAGTCCTTCCTGTCACACACAGGAGCTGAGTGGCTGTATCGGGACAGTCCTGCTGAAAACAAACAGGATACACGAGTGTCAAATATTTTCTTTAAACAGGATTGTATCTGTATTATTCATAACACAAACCATTTGCAGTTTTGTAAGCTAGCACTTGGTGATTTTGTTGGTGACTCTTTTTGACTAAAACTCATTTTACATCGTGTTTATAATGTATGGCTTTATTATTTTATATAAAATACAATTGACAAATGCTCCATTGATCAGTGACAAGCCACATAATCATTCACTATATGGCAACTTTTGAGTTGCCATATAGTGAATGATTATGTGGATGATTTAGTTTGAGTTTTTTCCTTGGTACTTTAATACACATTTTTTTAAAACAAATGTTGGTAATACCTAATATAAAATGGAATATGTATTATGTTTCATTTCTAAGCAACCATCTAGTATGCATTAACGTGCATTAATATAGGGGTCCGTATTCTTTGTTTTTCCTTACAATAATCCATCAAATGTGCAGTTATAAATGCTAAGAAAATTATGAAAACATTTATGATTGAAAATCAATTTTGGTGATGCAGTGCAGCCCTATTTCCGAAACCTTCCTCATTGACTAAGAATATAAAAAACATAAAGCATTTCCCTTAGACGTTTAACATCAAGTGGATTTCTTTACAAAATGGCAACCCGAATTCTGTTCTTATCAGTAGCTATCATGGATTAATTAAACAATAGTACATTGTTTATTTACCCTTAATATAGCCATCTGTTAAATGCTGGGGACATTAATAAGGTTTATTTTTTAAGTTGTTCCACTTTATTTAGCTATTGCCTAAATAATACACAGTGAACATAATGAACAATAATAGAATTGAACGAAATAAGTCAACATAACACCCTCTACCGTTTTCTTTTCTGATGTAAAAGGCCTGAATAAAGCTGCACCTCAAATATTTAAATTCATTCTTGAGAATATGTTTTTGGACAGCATGTCGTTTTTCCGTTTTTATAGTTTTGTTTTTGCCGTTCATTTCTTTAAATCGTATTATCATGTATTGTGTTATTGTGCCTGTTTTTTATAAATGCAATAACACAGTGGCTTCTTTAAAAAGCATGCATACAAATTCAATCAAATTAGATTAAATTAATGTGAAATACCATATTCACATTGCAAGTCAAAGTGTGAACAATAAATGCACATTTTGGATACTATTCTGTATTTTACGCACGTTCATTTTCCTGAATACATTTGATGCATCTTCATTACATAAAGAAAATAAAGGGTAAACCCCTAATTTCTATAGATTTGTAAATAATTAGGATATACTTTTTGCATGCATAAGATAACTTATCACTGTAATTAAATAAAAAATCATAGCCTTTGATCCTTATGACTTACACATGCAGGAAACACAAAATACAAAACATAGCTTATGCCTATTTTAATACTCTACCTGAAATGTCAGAGGAGTCTCGTGCATTATGGTGCAGATAGCCTTGATCCAGAGAGTAAGGTGACATCCCCGTGTGCAGTGCAGGAGAAGTGGGGCTGCTTGATGCCAACGACTGCTGTTTGATGTATGAAGAAACACCAGGTGAACTCCAGTGTGAAGCTGCATTTGCATACGGAGACTGACAGTCCAAAGTGGATACCATCGCTGGGGGGGACTGCATGGGGCTGCTGCCGCTGTCCGGGCAATAGTCCGCGTTAGAGGCCACCTGACATGCGGCCATGTACGATGACCCGGAGCCTGATGACATTTGTGGGACGTGATATCCCCTTTCGAGTCCATCGAATCCACCTGGCACTGTATTACTCATCAAGTCTATGTTGTAGCTGTTATGACACGCTAATGAGCCTGAAGGTGATTGGAAATCAAAGTTTTGAGGCAGCATGGATGCACCAAACCCGATACCATTCATCATCCTGTACATTGGTTTCAAAGCTTGGCATTTTCTCCGGAACCCCCGAGGTCTGCGACGAAAAGAGCCCTCCTCGAACATAAACTCACTGCTTGGGTCTATGGTCCAGTAGTGCCCTTTACCAGGTCTACCGAGACCCTTTGGCAGCTTTATGAAACACTCGTTCAGAGACAGGTTGTGTCTGACGGAGTTTTTCCATCCCTGGTAGGATCCCCTGAAGAAAGAGAAGCGGGCCTGTAAGAACTGATAGATTTCACTCAAAGTAAGCCTTTTGGTCGGTGAACTTTGAATTGCCATCACAATGAGCGCGATATATGAGTAGGGAGGCTTTTCAGGGCGCCTCATGCCAGAGTTTCCCTTTTTCCATTTTGGTGATGCATTTTGCTCGCTCTCCATCACTGGCTGCGCGCTCAGATCTGCATTCAGAGCTGGGCTGGAGCGAGCATCAGATGGATCCAAATGTTGCTTGGAGATTTCGGTCGTCATGGTTGATCAAATGTGCAAAATGTTCTCTTATTTAATATTTAAACGATCAGTTTACTTATGCGATGCTCTGCGCGTCTATAACCGTGACAATCAAAAACCACCAGCCCTGTTCCCCCTTCCTCTCTCTGTCCATCGCTGGCAATAATCCCACAAGAGAGGGGAAATAAAGCTCCTCGACTTTGCCTGCGTATATCCACCCGGCCAAACACAACTCGACCACCTATCAATTCTTAAATCTCTCTCTGCCCCTCTATCCCCCCAAATCCCTCCAAGAAATCGCCAGGAACTCCCTCCCCATCTGGCCAGGATCCAGACAAGAAGCCGGACACAGCGCAGTGGAGTAAGACAGATCTCCTCCCACGACTTACTTTCCATAACACCTCTGAATGCATTTGTCATACTAATATTTGGCACAATCATTTAACAAACGTTCATGAATAAATCTCCACATGACAGATAATCCAATGTGTTCTCATAGCCTACCTAAAAAAAACACTATGGCTAGTTTTACTTTTTTAAGGTATATGAGAGAAAAAGTCATGCAGTGTTCATTTGTTTGGGATCTGTTCAGGGTTAGATCTCTGACATGAGAGGAAGCATGCTTTTTCCATCAGAGCGTGCCAACCACACACAACGCACTAGTGTCAGTTTACCTCTTGCAGCCTTGATTATATCCCTGGAGAAATGAACTGATTAGAAAGTCTTAGAAATAGTTTTAGAATTTGTTTAGAATATATTGTTTGTGCTAGCTTAAGTAAAAGCCATTTGTGTGCATTAGTTTAGTTTCACTTGTGTCTGTTGAAGCTACTAGCAAGCTATTAGCAAGTCACCAATACACAAACGTGGAATAATTTCCCACACCAGCAACGTTAAACACAATCTACCCAGAATGTCAGCAACATCAAACGTGTAGCCCCGCTGCGTCCAGGATGCACAGCTGGTTTCAAGGAAATTTACTTTCTAGCCTCAGAAGAATAGGCCTACTTGGAATACATGTCTTCCTATTGTGGATTCAAGTTGTGTTCGTTCAGGATGCACCAATTGTACAAACCCTTTCCTGCGCATGTGTGGTGACTGAGGCGACGGCTATTTGCAGCACCAGACAGAAAACATAAATATTGGATGCCCCTATCCGGCAGTAGAGAGCTTCATGGACACTGGAAAGTAAATACTAATAAGGGAGTTTATTGTTGCATTTTAAATGATATAGACTGAGGAATGGAATGAGAATACAGACTGTATTCGAATCATAATAATTTTTATTTTACAATTATTATGATTATTATTGTTGTTATTATTTTTATTTTTATTATTATTATTGGTATGTGCCAGTAGCCTACATAGGGCCTTCGTGTTTTTTTTCTAAGGAGCCTGTACTTCCTAATCAATAAAGGAGAACTATCTAACCTCCTACAAACGTTGCATAACATATTAGACTGCAAACCTCATTAAGCATTACACTTTTAGAAATAGGAAGATGCTGTTGTTGCCTCAGGGCCTGGTACACACGCTCACGCAACAGATTCATAAGAGCTCTTTAAGAATCTGGCAAGGTGGAGTCACATGAACACACGCCCGAAAAAATATTATTGCCTTTGCACCGGTAACAGGTGTTTCAAACTCTCCTATGTTTCTCAACAAGAACAACATTTTAACAATATACAAAGCAGACCATCAACAGTGAGAATTGTATTTCATTGTAAAGAGCACATTTTTATTAAAGAAATAGACACAACAGTCAAACACGTTTTAAAAAAAAAAAAAAAAAGTCAGTTCAGTAACATTTATAACAAACAATTCTGTATAAAATATCAAATCTGATAATGCTTAAAATGGTACAACAATTCTGTAACACCTTGGCATTAAAATAAAGTAAACTGTTAATCCTCCTTTTTGTCCATCATCAGTCCACAATGAGGATTGTTAATCATCAAATAAACATTTATTTCTGATATTGTAGAACTGTCTGTGACGCCAGTCCGCACTGATAGCCGTTTGGCACATGCGCAGAAAAGGAGTCCATGTCCATGTAGCAGGCTGACTTGACGTATGCAAACGAGGCAGGTGTATTCAAATGAGCCATCATTAGTCCAGTGTAGTGCGGCCAGGTGGGGGTGGGGGCAGGGGGGTGAGGTAAATATCCCATGTTTGAGTTTCTCTTGAAAGGTTTGCTGAGGATGCTGTCTATCGCAAAGGAACTTGTAAACTTGACGCATGAATCAGTCTTGGTGGCGGGGGCAGTCTGCTGAATGCTCGGCGGCTCCTCTGCCTCTGGCTCTCTGTTTGATTTTTTATCAATGCGTTTTCTTCTGCGCCGGAACACCCCATCAGCAAAGGTGTACTCGCTCTGGGGATTGAGCATCCAGTAATTATCCTTTCCCCAAGGTCTGGACGGGTCCCGGAGCACTTTGAGGAAGCAGTCATTCAGAGACAGGTTGTGTCGAACAGAGTTCCTCCAGCCGGTGTAGCTGCCTCTGAAGAAGGGGAATCTTTTCATCAGATAGTCGTTTATTTCTGCCAGAGTCAGACTTCCAGAGGAGGAGTCCCGGATGGCCATGGCGATGAGAGCGATGTACGAGAACGGGGGTTTGGGTCTCCGAGTGTACGGCTTTGATGTGCCGCTGTTGCACGGAGTAACAGGTGCAGGGCTGTGCGCCACGCAGTCTCCATCCGAACCCAGCTCCTCCTCGCCAGAAAGGGGAGAGCGCACACTCCCTTCTGCATCCTTGGACATCTCGAAATGCTTCGTGTTATAGTGGCTACCACACAACACCTCCAACTTCATTGTCTTTGAAGTATGTTCCGTTTTATATTACCTATCCAATTTGCTTTCTGCGTAAAGTACGGTTTATTTTCGTCAAGACGCGGAGAGCTTTGAATTTACTCCGAATAAATTCTGCTGAGCTGTCATACCTGCCAGTGCTGAAGTCAGTCTCACCTACAACTCTGTGAGCAGCTGTTTATAGCCGGCTCACCTCAGGACCAACCCAAGTGGGCGGAGTTAAATGCTTTTAAAAGATTTGGAGCATCACAAAACACTATAATGTGATATATTTGTTGTCAATATTAAAACTGTGATCATACAACTTTTACCATGAGCATATAAGAAACTAACAAACAATGATCATGTTAACTGGAAACACGCTCAGTGCAGCTTTATAACTTTCTCACCTGTGAAATGTGAGCTGGCAGAAACTTGGGACTATTTCACCTGAGACAACCAGGTGGCGTATGTTTCCTTTGTATTCAAAGGTGCGGTGCCTGCAGGTGTTGAAGTGTCATTTGTCAATATCAGGGTGCATTGTAGCCTAATCTGTCCGTTCATATAGAAATGTTGTATATTGTTTTAATTATATTTGTGTAACCTTTATGTTTAGATAGTGATATATTTAAACATCTGTGGCAGAAAGATCCTCACTTAAGATCTCTCTCATCCAAGCACTTTACTTAGGAGTGCACTTCGGTTCCTTACAGCCTACATAGAAACCATTGTTTTTGGGGTATCTGTATGAAAACAAATAATGCCTGGTCCTTACAGACACTCAGTTGAAAGATAGTGGATCTACCTGGGATTTACTTTTTGTAATTGAGGTTCTTTCTGAAGAACCAACCTTTTGGGTTTTTGGTTGGAACATCAGGGTTTCACTATGGATATAATTGCAAAGAGACGGTGCAAAGTTTCAGGTGAATAGACCCTTACTTTAAACTCAACTTTATGTTATGCTTTTAATAGCAATTATTACATAGTGCTACTCCACGGCGCGGATATTTTCTCCTTTTACTCACTCCCTCAGATTCATCAGGCAGTCATGTTGAACTCAACAACGCATATTGGTATAATTGATGGTCTTACTGCAAAGTGTCAGGCCAAACCGCTGGTTTCATTGGTTGTGCTGCAATATTTTCACCAAATAGACAAAAGGAAAACATAATAACCTCATACAGTACATCACCTGTAAACCAATGTTGACATCACATTAGCCGCTGATATGTTGTTACTCTGACAAGTGGTTAAACTTTTGTTTATGCAATATGTGCTTTTCAAGATGTTTTTTTGTTTGTGCAGGAGTGACTGTTATAATACTCAGGTAGTGATCTGTTTGTGTTGTCTGTGACACCCAAACCAGGGTGAAGTCACTATTTTGAAAGGTGGCATGTGAAAGATGGATTCCTTTAAGCTAACCACACAATGACAGGAGCTCAAATACCACATATTCATTCTGGTCACTGCATGTAGCAGCTTGTGAGGCTGTGGTGTGTCTCTGTGTTCTTGTATACATGAGGATCTACTTAATAACAGCTTTACGGGTGGAACCACAGTGGAATATGTGCGCCTTATATACTGCCAAAGGTGAAGGAAGGAAAAAAAGTGAAAAGTGAGAAACCTATTAATTAATGGATCACCAACATTTAAATCTGCATTATAGAGTTTTTACTAAATGTATTGCTAATCCATTAGTGACTATGTATAAGCCTTTTCCAAGACAGTGAAGATAAAATGGGGCAAACAACTGTAAAAAAAGGTTTGCTGAACCTACTATACTATAATAAAGAGTAGTAAATAAAGTATATTTGTATAGAAATTAGTTCAGTTAATAGTCCTCAGTCACTGTCTCACTGCCATCATATTATTGGAACTAGCTCTTATTGTTCATGAGTCAATATAAGTGTTGTGAGATTTAAAAGCACATTACAGCATGTTGGCTCTCTGAAGACAGCTGATCATAAAATAACTTTCACTTTTACGTGACTTTTACGTTTTAAAGCACACACCTGTAAGCCATAACATGGAAGATCCTCAGAGTACAGCATAAATAGTGTTGTAATGAAATAATGACAATTTCTGAACAGCATTATGTCCATTAAAGCTCCATATTTATTATGACTTTGAAATGTATTTAGACATTACAGATGAATATATGTATTTGGCTGCATCACTGCATCTCTGGCTCTGGCCTTGAACCATCCCTTGTTGTTGATCTGTTGGAATGAGGAACACTGTGAACCAGACATAAGTGACCAACACCCTGATTGTTGCTGATACAGTTCAGTGATTGGTTGGCACAGAGTTCAGTTTATTAACTGTAAAGAATTACTAACTGATGCCAACATTAAAAAAAAACATACAGTACACTACATTTATACTTCTCCGCACATGCAGCAGTTGCATGAAAACTCACTTACAGTTGAGTGTATGTGGTGCATTAACTATTCTGACCTCGACCCTCCTGTTCTCTCACAATGTTTTAAGCTCCACTTAACCAGTACTTTGATGTCTGGAAGGTTACATGGACCAGCATTAACTAATGAAAGAGACACAGTCACATATGATTTCTAATCTGTTCCCTCTGTTTGCGGTTGTTTTTGAAGGAAAATAGTTTACCAGTCATTGTTAAAGGACAAAAATAAATATTCTTAGTTGACTACAGGTGTAGAACAAAGCTGTGGCTAAGACTGCAAATGGTGGAGAACACCAGGTGCTGTGTGATGTAATTCATGTGGAGTTTTCCTGTTACTGTAGGTCAATCAGTTCAAAGGGTTTGGTGAAATTATAATGCACTGTATATATTGAAACGGGGATGAAACAAAGCCTTCAAGACACTTTATTTCTTCTACATTAAGCAAACAATGTGTATTCTAAATGGCAAATCACTAAAAAAAACAATACATATACAACCCTATTGCTATCATTTGTGTTATTGTTTGTTAGTACTGTGTTTGGAATTCACATTCATACTTTTGTCAGTAATAGACTGTTCAGCTTATTTTAAACGTAGTAGATCATTGTTTTACACCGGACAGCTTTTGACACTTTTTCTTTAATGTCTTATTCATTCTTTAAACCCTGCTTAGCGCTTCAGTAATATAAACTGTTGCAGCAGAGTCCACAAAATGTCTAAGAATAACCGTGTGAAGATGTCAACCTGACATGTATTTAGTTTGCATAACTCCCGCTCAAGGCTTGTGTGTGTCTCTCTATGCAAACACAAAGCTTTTGCGTGCGAGGCAGCAGATCATTTGAAATGTTCAGATGTTTTGCAAAGGATTATGTTGCTGAGAGCGTAAAGATCACTGAGTGGCTTCAGAGTATTCAAAGGTTCAAAATAGAAACAGAATTTCATATTGATTCCAGGCATTCCCTCGTGCTATTTATGGCAGCCGTGTGTTTATTACCGTTGTACAATACGTCCCACCTCAAAATATTTCATCAGCCACTAATTATAGTATTTTGACAGCTCTGTTTTGAAACCATGTTACCAGCGTCTCAGTATTTAACTTGAGCATTATGGTTTTGCACAAACATGTGCGTGTTCTTAGTCATCATCAGCTTGTTTCTTCATGTATATTTGGCCGCACATGTTTCTTCATATAGTGTATACCTGGTCCCACCCTTTAAATGCATTCACCTGAAAGCATGTTATGTCTTAGTTTAGACTTTTGCCTTACCCTTTAATATGCCCTAAATATAGGTGATGTTAGAGACACACATTTAAAGAGGACTGTTAACGAAGTTCAAGTTCTCTCATGTCCCTTGATAGGAGAAGTAGCAGGAATGAAAGCAGGCTCCTGCCTGTTGCTGGGTTTGGAAGTTTCTATTTTGGTCTTGTCTTCATGGAGATAAAGAAAATGAGCTGCCAAACAAATAGGAAGAAATAATGACTTGAAGGAGCATGGAGAGGGTTTATCGACAGGATGAGAAAGATAAGTAAGAGCTTTTTTACTTACGCCCTCAGTATGTTGGTTCAAAGAAACCATAATTATACTCTCATAACAAGAAATGTGTTGCTCTGGTACAACAGAATCCTAATTTCTGTCTAATCTTTTGTAGCTTTGTATTTATTTCTCTGTGGCAATCATGGCATTTTCCCTTTTTTCCCTTTTTGATTAATTGATCAAATCCTTTTCAGATTCAACCCTTTCCCTTAGTTGTTATACTATTGTTTTCTTGCCCATCTAGCCAATCTTCTCACATTTTTCAACATTACATTTTTACATATGGTCTACTTAAACACCCAATAACGTTATCCCAGCTTCTCCATTCTTAAATACACTGCTTTGTGTGCTTCCTCGTTTATATCCATATATGTTTCGAGAAAAATAACATTATAAATCCAAAGCAGGCAAAAACTGGTAAAAGTCAAATGTAAAACTAGACACTAGAAAAAAAGGCATTTGTGGGGGTGAATTAAGATAAATAATCTTGTGAAGACTAACTGATGCAGATCCTATTTTGTTTGCATATTTGCATCAGAGAATATTTCAGTTAAAACCATTACAAGCTTCCTGGCACAAGGTTAGAAGGTACTAGACACCGGTTTAGTGCACGTCATGCATAACTTATGTGTGAATACACCACTTAACTCCTCTTGTACAAAAAGCTGGCATTGGGGGTAAAACATAACAAATACATAGCATAAAGGGAGGGGTTGTTGGATACGAGGTTTCTGGTACTGAGATCTCTGTTGAGGTCGGATGTAAGCTGACAGAGTCTCATGCTGTAAACTATTACAGGCAATCTGCAGGGCTGCAACTCTGGTACTGTCATCACACAATGGTAGAGAGAAAGGCCAGATAAGTGTCTCAATCTGTGTATGAAAAGCAATAAGGCCGGCCTTCGTGTTCAAATGTTCAGTCTTTAGTCGATTTGTTGTTCTTTTAAGAATTGATGAAGAAAAACTGCACCCACTTAAGGTTGAATACTTTGGTTGGTTGAAATGTTTGGTTTCCAATATCGTTTTCGGAGAGACATCAGGGTTATCATCGCATGAATTAACATCAAACTTGATAACTTTTTTTCTGTCATTTCTTTCTGTTTACAAAGCTTCAGAACATGGCACCGCATAACTAAAATAGAATAAATTCAAAGCTGTAAACAAGCAAAGGCATGCTCTCTGTTTGTGCACATAACGTGTTGTCGGGGGCAAAAGGTAAATCCCCTCGTTC